CAAAAAGTCCGCTACTTTTATTAATAATTATATTTATAGTTTAAAATGATGATTATATATAAGACAGTTTTTCCATTATCGTTTTCTTTTAATAAACTAATAAACTTACTTGTAACACATACGTTTTAAATCTATCAAACGCAGAATTCAATTCTGCAAATGGCCAATAGTTTTACGTTTTGAGAAGAAAATAATAAAGAAGAATAGTTACATTATCGACACGACGTAGTTGTGGACTACTACTTAGTTCGTACGGCGCCCGTTGGCGCTACGAGCAACCCCCCCGCTTGCCCTCCGATCCCCGCGCGTTTTCCGCGATTCAGTGACGCGTTGTGTACATGTATTATAAGGTCTGTTCTTTTTCCATACTTTGGCTGCACTAATTCACAGTCTATCTTTTTTTTTCAATATAGATAAAAAAAGATAGACTGTGAACTAGTGCATCCGAAGTATTGAAAAAGAACAGACCTATAGTGTCTGTAATAAGTTCATTCAACCTTCATATGTTCGTTTCGCGGGCATTCGCGCGTTTTGTGTTTTGATATTGTGTTGGATATATATTCTCTATATCATCGAATTGAGATAACGGGATTGTTTTTATGTTTCTTTACAAACTTACGTCACTTATCTTTTTGTTATCAGTTAGGAATATTCAACGTGTTTAAACAGCATATGATATATATTTAGCTGTAACATCGGCGGCATTACAACAGTCAAAATGTCGGCACAGGTATGTTGGTGTTGGATTTGTTTTGGTAATAAATTCTTTGTAAGAATTGCTCTCTTATTTATTACTTTTTAGAATAATTGAATAATATTATGTGTAAAATACACTATTTATGTCACACACACACATACACAGATGAAGAAACTGGTGGATCTCTACAAATCAGTAGCTGCATATCCAGATTTAGTTTCTGCGAGAATTCAGGGTACTGCAAGTAAGAAGCTATTCGTACAAAGTGTGTGGAAACAAAGGAATCTAGAGAGGAAGACAAATCAGACCTTTCTTCGGAATTATGACTTGAGTTCGGATTTGACTTCAGTCTCTGCGACTGGATTCCCAATTGATGTTACCACAGAGTATGTAATTTTGTTGTAGTTCATTTGCAAAACATTCAACATAAATATTGTTTGCTTTTAAACATCTACTTGAATTCTTTTTGAATATTTAGACTTATGTCTGCTCTGACCAAGAATGAAGAACACAGAGCTATACTGCGACAAGCTACTGTTGACAACACCACAAAACAGTTTATAGAAATTTGGGATAAGGAACATCTGATGAAAAATTATGATCTGTCAGCTTTGGATGTCCATGGCGATGTTTATACAGATAGTAAATATATTTTCCAAGTTTTTTTTAAATATGTATAGTAATTTGTATTGATACACAAACTTTTTTTGTGCAGTGGAATTTTCTTCTTTTGAATGGTCTCCGGATGACACAAAACTTCTATACGTGGCAGAAAAGAAGCTTCCCAAGTCAGAACCGTTTTACAAACAAAAACCATTAGATAAGAAAGATAAGGAGAAGAAGGAAGATGAGATATCAGTGGTATATTTTTTATTTGTTTAAATATTTGCAGTTCTGTATCTCTCTGTACATAATGTTTTTTTGTTTTATTTAGTCTCCTTCTTGATTTCAGGGCAACGAATATATTTATAAGCCGCATTGGGGAGAGCAGTTGGTGGGCAAACATCGTCCAGTTGTTGCAGTCCTTGACACCACAACGGATAGCATCACTATTTTGTCCGGAATACCGGACGATCTTTCGCCCGGGCAGGTGACGTGGACGAAAGATCAAGATGTAATTGGTGTTGCCTGGAGACACGAACCGCAATACTTAGGCCTCACTGCGTGCACTAATAGATACTCCTGGATATTCTTATTGAGGAACGGAGAATATCGTAAGATGCAGTTTAAAAAACAGTGTTTCTGTGGAAAACATGTAAAATAAAATAGTGAAATTGATGTAACTTTTATCATTTACAGAGAAATTATCCGATGATGATTGTGCCGTACAGAGCCCCAGAATAAGTCCAGATGGCAATTATCTCGTCTGGCTGCAGAGAAAAGCTGGTGCTGTTCCGCATCACAACGCGCACAAACTCATGATGCGAGATTTGAGAAAAGAGAATCATGTAATATGTTATTTCACATTAATTTAATGAAAAATTAAGTGAGCAAAGATTTATGTATGTTAAAGTTCAATATTGAATTGTTCTTTATATCTAGACCGAGGAAATCGTGGAAGTGGTGGAGATGAGTAAAACAATTAAAAATAATAAGAAATTTTACGGAATATATCGTCGTTTGTCCCGTCGTTGTTGGAGCGATGATTCTCAGTATTTGTTTTTCAGCACCCCCCAAAGAAACAACATCGTTTCGTACATTGTGAATATAAGTAAGAAAACTAGAATATGAAAATTATTAATTAATTAAGATTTATATTACGTTTACACAGAAGAAATAAATTTTATTTATAGAAACAAAAGACGTCACCGAGATAAATAATGACGGAAGCAGTCTCGTTGTATTGGACGTGAAGGAGAATGTGATCGCGTTTCTGAACATTTCCTTAACACAGCCAGCCAACTTGATGGTCGGTCGTTTTGAACTTGGAGCGGCAGATAGTGGCGATATTCCAAGAATTGCGATTTCAACTCCAGTGAAGATTGATGGTTTCGAGGAAATCATATACGAACCTAACGAATATATTTACAACAACGACGATAGCATAAGTAAGAAGATTGCGTTGTTTATGGGCGATTTCGTTTCCTGTCAATTACTTAAACATGGATTATGGATTTTTGTTTTAGAGCAATTCAACTACATTTACTTTGGCCCAAACAATGGTAAAACCAAGTCTGTACCTTTCATAGTTGTGCCACACGGAGGTCCTCATAGCAATTACACAAACGTACATATATTGGATTACTCCTTTTTCGTGAAAGCAGGTGATAAATATGTAAAACGCGTTTCCCTGTGTGAAACTTGATTTTATACGCTTATCAATATGAACATTCTCGTGGGATTTCAGGTTTCGCGGTGGTGCAGGTGAATTATCGCGGTTCCACGGGTATGGGCAGTGCGACCGTGGAATATCTTCAGGGCAAAGTAGGAGACGTGGATGTGAAGGACTGTATAACCGCTACCGAAGAAGCGATCGAGAAATACCCTTGGCTCGATCGTGACCGCATAGGTCTTTACGGTGGATCTCACGGTGGATTTCTAGTGACGCACTTGAGCGGGCAAGCTCCGGTAAAAGAAATATATTAATATCGTTCGTAAAACAAGTTTAACAATTCAAATGTGGCGCGTCAATTGCAACTCGATTCTCGTTTCAGGATATGTTCAAAGCAGTGGTCGCCAGAAACCCGGTAATTGATATCTCCGTCATGTTCGGTACATCGGACATACCAGATTGGTAAAAATATTTAATATTCGATAACGATGTTTTTTTACGTCCTAATCATTCAATATCCCAATATTTGTATTTCAGTCGCAATGCTCTGACTAAGGAAGAGAAAATAGCGTTTCTTCGTAATATGTAAGCTTGATCGTTCATGTACTTCATAATTGCGACTAGTCTAAGCCTGACTGAAATACAGTTTTTTACTTTTCTTTGCGCATATTTATATGATTTTTATAAATATAAATGTGTGTGTGTGTCAATACTTTTCACACGAGTCTGCAAAATTTGTAATGTATATTTAAGCGTAAGTGAATTTCTTAATTGCAGGTGCGTCGTAGAAGCGGGTTATCCGTACAATGTCCTCAGTCCTGACGAACCGACGAATAATACGTTGATTGATATGTTCGTGAAGATGAAGAAATGCTCGCCGATTGTGCACGCTGACAAGGTCAAGGCGCCAACTTTGGTCTGCATCGGGACGAAAGATCTGCGAGTGCCGTCATCTCAGGGAACGATGTGGTATCAACGGCTCAAAATCAACAATGTGAAGACCAAGTAAGCCACAGTCGGATGCGTTTTATGGCAACGATTGAAAATGCGCGTCGTTATTAACAAACAATTTTGCATATTTTCGCAGAATGCTCGTATACGAGGACAATCATCCTCTGTCAACCGGACCAGTTGAGATTGATCATGTCATCAACGCTTGTCTTTGGTTGCTCGAGCACACGTCCGTGCGCGAGGATATCGCAGACGCGGAATAAACATTCTATTTCTCATCCATACACACATGTACAGTGTATATAATATATATATCTTTATTATCACAAAGTATATTTAGATATTTACATAGATGTTATTGCAAAGATTTTATAAAGAGACTTGTATAACATTCAATTTCCAAAATATATACACGCGCCGTCTATAGGATTTTATATATATATATATATATATATATTTATACATATATATAATTTGTTATAACAGTTTTATACTTTGTGTATACGTATAAAAGTTGTTATAAATATATACGTTGCGTGTATAGCTAAGTAAAATATTTATCAAAATATACTACGATATACAGTTCACACACCATTCGTTTCGGCGAATGTCTATGAACACAATGAATCCAGTCAGATGTGTTTTTTTACTTCGAGAATATTTGTAATCGCCATGCCCACTATCTAGCGTTTTCGAGTTCAGTTGAATCGTTCCGAGAGCGATTAATTGCGTCAATTTGGCAAATCGACCAATCGTCATTTGACAGAGTAATCCGCAAGAAGATCTTCAAACGCGCGACGTATCACGACGAGTTTCATCAAGTGAAAGGTGTTGTTGCCGGTTATGGGCGATCACGCTAAACGATCTTACTGGCACTTTATACGAATTTTTCAAAAGAGAGCTCGGCATCACTCGACTTAAATTCAAATCCGCGTACAATCCGTACACCCGAACCGAGTATGGAAATATTTTCTGCTATCACAACGACTTGGGAAAGTGGATTGAAATCGGTAACAGAGGTATATCAGGCCGGAAATGATACCACTGATGGATCTAACACTTCCGATGTACGCTTTGGGGCTTGTTGATATACGATCATCTGAACAACACACGCAATCTTGTTGGATTTGGAGATGATTCACAGGACATCCTACATGTCGATTAGACAAATAAATATTGATCTCTTGCCGAAGAGACGTTATTGATTGCTCCGAGAGCGAGTCAATTCGCATCGGTCGAAAAACGCTACGTGTTACAAATATTGACAGTGTATAACTTAAATGAGTAAAGCTTAAACAAAATATAACTTTAAGTTTTTTAGCTAACAAAGTGTTGCGACATGATACTTTGATCTTGATAAAATACAAGAAATCGACGATCTTTGTGATTGTTAACGACGTTTAAAGATTTTGTTTTTTTTTTTTTTGTTATCCTTATAATAAAATTAAAATCATACATTGTGTCTTAGTATTTTTTTCCGATACTCCATCCGAAAATAAGTGAAACAACATTCAAATTCAAACTTAAAGTTATATCATACATGAGAACAACGAAACAACTTAATTTATCTAGCTAATCAATTTGCTGCATTTTCGTAATCTCACTAACGTATACAAGAAACAACGAAACAAGTTAGTGTTAATGCGACAGTGTATGGTGGCGTAACTAGAAATGGACGGTGAAGTAGCAGCGTTCTGATTGTGAGAGGGAGGGATGAGAGTAAAACCGCATTATCAATTCAAATTTATACCTACGATATTTGTTGATTTGCTAAGATATCGTTCGTGCGTAAAAATAACCGGTATCACAAAAATGAGATTCACCTTGACAAGGTCTGTCGTGCTAAAACTTATTTATAAGAACAACGATCGCAAAACTCCGCTTTTGTAAAATTCGTTTTTCTGCCGCGAGTTATTACGGCTATATGTATAACTTGATGCATGATATTCAGTTAATTTGTACAAGTCTTATTTGTAACAAAAACTCCGCTCACACTTCAAGTGTGTTTATACACATGTGTATATAGGAAAAGGGTCTAGTTACGTCACCGAGTGCACGCAACAGCGTCTAATTAAAACATTAGACGTCTTGCGTGTTTTATAACACGCTTACGAGTCTAAATCAAAATCAATACAACTTGGACACTTCGTGTTTGTAATGCGCTTCCAACTCTGAATTATATCCAACACTTACGTTCTGGCAGGATTGCTTTGTTCGGGGAACAACGAGTCATAACTGGGAGGTAGATCCTTGTCCACGACCGGTGAGGATACCGCCACCTCCAGCATAGGGGCTGTGGGTACTGCGCGATTTGAATTCGGAATCGCCTCTACATCTTGCGACAGTGAGGTCGGTCGTGAACAAACGTTCGGACCCGCGCAATCCGACGACCAGCACAACTTGTGCGACTTCTTGCAGATCCAAAGACACATGACGAAGATGATGAAACACAGGATCATGGTGGTGACTGCCCCCACGGTGACTTTTGTCGCAGTGTCTTCCTTGGATTGATCTAAGTTGGAATACTCGCAGTTCCTCTCGTCCGAGCACACGTTTAGCGGACAATTGGCCATCTTGTCGCATACGTATTCTCTTCGGATGCAAATATCAAATCCTACCGGTGCGTATTCCTTAAGATCGACTTTATTGCAACCTGCGAATAAATTGTCAATAAAAACACGCAATTTGTATTGTTTGACATAAGAGCGTGCAAGTGAAACACACCCATACTTTTGTAAGGAGTGTAAATTATAGTGAGGTCCAGAGACCATCCCCTGGGCACTTCTTCCTTGGAGATTACTATTTCAGTTTCAATCGCAGCTTTTGCTTCAAAGATCATGTACTTTTTCCGAATAGGATCGTATTCGGTGAATTTGTCGTAATTATCGTTCGCATCGAACGAAACAGAAGAATCGGCTACTGGATACGAATATGTATGACTGCGATCTATCTCTCCGCAGAACTTGCTGGTGTATTGACCGTCGCTCTTTTTGAACTAAGAAAAAACAAAGTTTAAAAACGTTAGAATGCAATGTCACGAGAGCAGAGAAAACAATTGTGCGACGCACACACACACACAAATAGAATTTTCATATCTGAGCATATCGAGACACATTTTTATTTAAAATGTAGCTGTAGATAAAATATTTTTAGTTTTTCCTACACGACATAATACGCGATATATATATTGTATGTCGAGAAAAAATTAAAAATGTTTTGCAAGTAGGCGAATGTACACACAATTAATGCAAAACTCTGCAGCATTCACAGATGTACATGTGTACATTTTAATATGTTTGCTCATCACAAAATACTGTTGTAGGCAAAGATGTTAGAGTCACAAACATTATTTATTGAATGGACAAAATATATTCTTTTCAAACAGAAGATAGCGTAAGATGACTGCTTAGTCTTCAAACAACAAATACGAGTAGAAATCTTACATAAATACGTAGGAACGTATTTTGATCGCGTCTGCCAAGAGAATACGTTTTAAACAATTGTCTTCAAAACAACACATGTGACGAATAAACAAACATCGAAACAATCTCTCAATGTCGAAGTTGGAACGCGTGGAAAATTCTGGCAACGCGAGGAGAATTCAAGTTCATTCCCTGTTGCGCTCACCCGAATGTAATCCAGACAGTTGTCGCCTTTGGTGCGCAAAAACATCTTGTGAATCACTGCAAACAGACCCTCGCCTTTCTCAGTCTTGAATACGAAGGTGCAATTGCGATCGGACTTGACCATCCACCGGTCAAACATGTGTTTCACGCTGACAATCGCCGCGACGCCGTTGCGTATGTCGAGCTGTCGCTTTTCGTTCAAGATGTGACAGATCTTATCGTTCTCGAGGTAATCTACGGAAACATAACGGATAACTCACACAGTGAATTTGAGGTTAGAGTAAAAAGCGCAACCGACACTAAGTGTCACATCGCCGCGAGAGAATGTGGTAGTTTTTATTCTCTCGCGAGAATTATACGCGAACTTACACTCGGTGTATTTGTAACGCGTGCACGAGCACAGGTGCGCGATCACGATCGCAATCATAAACGGGTAGACGAGGCGCGGACGAGCCATTTCTTCTTCTTCTTCTTCGTCGCGACCGATTTGCGGTCCGCGTGTGTCACAAAGCCATGCAGGACGTGACAAACGACACGGAGCCAACGAGGATAGGTACGTTGTTACGCGCGATGACGAAACGCGCGCGTTTACGACTGTCCTTTTCCGCGAGATTTCTTTTCGTGAACGCGAGAAGAGTCGCAGGCGGTACACGCAACGCGCGAGACAGTTCTTCCTCGATTACTCCGAAACCGAACTCCGCGAGTGACTGAGAACGACATTACCGGAGCGCGTCACATCATTCCCCGCTTTTTCCCCGGGAACTACGTACGTCATTGATGATTCAATGACGCACACGCGCCGATGATTCTCACGAAAATTCATCACTATCGCCATCTGAAAATCTATAGTTCGCGTCACGTGTACGATGGATTTTTGGTACAATCGTAAATTTTGAATGGTGGGGAGTGCAATAAATCGAGTGACGAAACATCGCTCTCTCGAATCGAAACCTCGAAAGAATTTGACTCTGCGGAGTGAAGCGTGCGTGTCGCCTCTCTCGGACGTAATTTTCCGAGGAAATAATTAATTACTTTAGAGAGATGTGATTCGGAACACGGAAGAGAGATGAATCACGTAATTCCGAATGCGAAGACGCGGAGTTCGGCAAAATTGAAGTGGGTGATACGGCTGTCAAGTCGATCGAGATAATTAAAGTCAATTTGGTGTTCCGGATTATACATAATTGTCAAAATTCATCGTCACACGACAAGTAGTGAGGATGTTAATTAATTAAAAATGACGGTTTTTAGACGCTAGCAGTTTTACGAAGCTAACAGAGACGCTATTATCAATTCCTCTCGGGCTACGTTTTCGAATTGCGCAACTATATTCGTGGATTATTCTGTCGCCCGGCCAAATATATGTATGCGCAATAAATATTACTGGCTTTTCGTGCCACGTTCCGCGAACGTAGATCAGTATTTCACGATCGTTGATCCCGCCCCGGTGAACACGCGGAAATCCAGAGTCCGCGGAATGTGCGTCGGTACATATCTTTTCGTTTTCGATCAAAATATAAATTTTTTATTATTAAAATATCATAATAAGTTTATTAATTAATTAACTTAAATTTTTTTTACATATTTCATAAATTATCAACAATATCGTAACACCCTCAAAATTCAGTTGGGACTCGTATTGGTCCAGTTTTTTTCCTAATATAACAATCACGAGTAATTTATATTTTTTTCAATTAAATATAAAATGAGAACGTTTTTCCTGAAAGTTGATTGACCCTTTCTCTTCGATCGTAAAATTAGCTTACTGCTGAGAAACACAAAAGCAATGAGAGATAACCGCAACTTCTCACAACACACGTTGATGAGTTTTTCGCTCTGTAATGTATATTGTCTAACATAATAAATGATTCAAACTGCAAGTGAGTCATTATACCCGGCTATACGATAGTTCTTTCCGTAATCTGAGATCGGCGTAATGTTTACGAACGTGATCGTTAACGCGCATGTACGTGTGATAATAATTTTGCAATAGAATCCGTGATTTCCTCGTCGACAAATAAGATTTAATAATGATGTTTGCACATGTAAAGAACCGCGAGAAGAAGAAACGAATCGGGCACGTTTAACGATTCCACGGTCACGGCGACCATTATGCTCGACAATGATCTCGTCGCGCAGAGATCGTTCAAAGTTGAAGAAACGAATCGCGGAGCCGCGTTCTTGTAAATACATCGCATTCGCGCCTGAGAACGTTGGATTCTAAACAATCTGCCGTGTTCAATTCTGAGTCGTGTAAATGAGAAACTTGTATTTTTCTTCATTATGTTTGTCATCAAACGCGCGCGGTGTAAAGAAAAAACTTCGCGCTTCGCAACAGAATAAATTCTTGCCGCGACTGGAAGTTTTTGCATCGACAGGAGTTCCCGTATGAATAATTTATAATAACAATAAACCAATCACAACTCGTAATTAATTATATTCTATGTGTATTATTTTTGTAAATGAGAAAAGGCCAATATTTTTTCATTCCCGTTGAAGGATAGAAAAAATTTTATCTCTTGCGGTATAACATGCGCAAAAATAACACGTTGCTTAGGGAATTTCTTCGTTCTGCATTCTGTGTGTGTTTTTTTTTTATGTGTTTCTACTAACCTTCACAGGTGAATACATATTCAGAAGTTTCCGAAACACGTTTCAGAAACCGATTATTACATCGAGCTGTACAGCATGTTACTGTAGCTCGGTATTACGTAAGGCCGACATTCAGAACCATTATTATAATTATCCTGCGGGAGCAAAAAACTGACTTCGAAGGATACATGCGAGCGACATTATGGTCGCAATTAAAGATCTGCCTGCGATCTCTTTGACGAGGAACTACATTGACTTCGGTCGGACTAATGTAGAGGGGAAGAAAAAGATTCCGTAAACTGTGTGTGTCTCGCTAATCACGGTCTGATATAACGATCAGGCGGAAGCGAGGTAAATTATAACAATCGTGCTAATCGTTAAATTATTTTTTTATCTTCTCATTTCTCTCAACATTATTTAAAAGTTTTTAAAAGTTTGTGAATCACTATACAACAACATATAGATAATATTTTGTATCCCCACACAGAACGAAAACTACATTAGATATCCGTTAGACGTCAACAGCTCCGTGCAATATCTTATAGATGTCTAATAGAGTTTTTGTGTGAGGTAACGTATTAAAGTAAAATGTTATATGTATTATATATAAATAATATATGAATAAAAAGATTTTTTTATTCCTTTATTTCTCTGAACCTTGATACAAAAATTTACTCAATACAAAAAAATACAACACAAAATTTTACAAATATCAAAGGAATTTTCAATACAACACGTGACGTTGTAAAAAAGCACCAGCGAGAGAGACGGCTCTGTACGAGATTGTCTTCAGTCCCGACAGAATTTATTTGCGACGGAACTCGCGAATAAACTTTTTTACTGGATACTTTTTTATTAAAACGGCAAGAAAATCATTGCGACGAGAAAATCTGTGTTTCATATATATCCATCTTCATGCACCTGATCGGTGTTATTTTCATAATCGCTGTTTGCTTAACGCTGCACTGAGAAAAAAATACTATTAACTCAACTAAATGCGTTTAGTTGAGTTTCAGTTTGTTATCTGAAATACTTGGTTTTTTAATTCAAGCATATGGTAATAAAGATAACAAATTCGTATAAGTTGAATTAACAATAGTGGTAATGAACATATTTAATTCACTAAACCATGAATTGTTTTGTCGAACATAAGTTGTGATAATTTCAAATAAAAGATACTGTTAAAAAAGATGAAATAGGCAATTCTCATTTACTTTAATTGAATATAATCTGAATTTCTTTGTACTAAGTATTTCATCTAATCAAACTGCTTATTTTTATAAGCAGACAAAATATTGTGTTGTCCTATTGTGTTGTACATTCACAATTACCTGTATTTAAGCAAATTATAATTTTGTTAAAACAACTAAATTGTCTTTCGGTATAATCTAATTATTATATCTATTGAAACATGATATCTTCTTACATTAATCAATATTTTATTGACAGCCCGTGATCGCTGCATATAGTTGAATCGAATACTATTTTGTTACTTCACCAACTTTTTTTTCTCAGTGTGCAATTAATAGTTATTTATAGTCCCGTATATACCAGTCGTGTCAAGAGCGACACGTTTCAACGGTGACGCGAAGTCGGAGTATTTCATAGACATTCACGGAGCAATGTCAGTTTCGGCTATCAGAATGTCGTGACGTTCGCGCTCACTTTTCCAGGCTGCCCATCAGCTGCGGAAGTTTTCTATGCGGAATATTACTCGACATACGATAAACATTTACTTTATCGTATGTCGAGTAATATTCCGCACGTTTTTCAGCGCACGTACAAATGTATATTTGTAATCACAATCTTCGGTTAAAAATCAGGTTTTGTCACCAAAAGTACATGTGATTACATCTTGAATTGTTTTAACAAGCGCAAAGAATTAAGGAATACCTTCTACTGTTTTAGAAATGAATTTGTGATGTGGCATCAGAACTTCGAGTTCCACGTAAAAACGGAGAGATTTCGTCTAACAACACTATTACGCAAGAATATATATATAGCTATTTTACACCGCGATTATAAACTTGACATTGACTACATTTTAATTGCGTTACAAAACGAAGTCCTTGAAATTTTAAGCTAATATTAAAATTCAGTTGTAAATATTTATACTGAATTAAAAATGGAATAATTTATACTGAGTTAAAAATGGAATAATTTAGTAAACAACAACGCTTGCACGTCCACAATTTCAGAATACAAAATGAAGACACTGAGCTTTCACGCGTTTAACTCGAGTTTCGTAAATATCATTTACAAGATGATTTGCAGTTACTGTAATTGGCCAATCAGATGGTGCGAAACGTTAGAATAGAAGCAAACACATATATCATTTTTGTGAGACAAAATAAAAGAATCGCCTTGTTCGTCACACTTTTCACGCCGAGATATTGCGAACTGTTTGTTCAATATCTTGAATAAGTCCTGACACGGATGCGTTAGTTCCAGATCAGTGGCCGACGAATATCTGCAAACTGCTCTGTCTGTGTATACTGCCCACTTTGAAGATACAGATGCGATGTAAATAGCATTTCTAAGTGTCTCCCAACCATAAACGGACAAATATCACTGGATATTTATTAAAGAAATAATTATAACAAAGTATTTATANACGTAAAAAGAGTTAGAGAGANAAAAACTATAAATATTTAAAGACATCTTTAAAAATACTTAAAATATATATTATATTTAATATTTACATATGTAATAATTGTTTTTTTTTTTTTTTTTAAATAAATATCCAGTCGTCCGTTACCACATGTTCGGTCAATAAAACACAGTTATCTTATTTCTGGTTTTTAAATATATCTTTAGCCCCACACAATGTGTTTAATATTTTTTTATTTTACTAATTACGTATATTAATTTGCGTGTGTAAACAATTGTAAATAACAGGTAATAAACATGCAATGTCACAGTCCCTAGATAATAAGCAGAGCTTTACTTTGGAGACTGATGCGACTGAACACGTGTGTCAAATTTCATCGGCTTCGATATTTTCGCCTTCGTNCACTCTTGTAATTTACGCAACCTTTGTATCTTGCGTCTTTACAGGATCAATAAGTTATTTCGAGATTTGCAACCGGGAGCGTCGGAAACGTTGCGCATCAATTACCCTGCGACGATGTTACACAAGAGTTTCTTTGTTATCAAACTGCTCCTAACGAACGCAATCCCTCGGGGTGATCGCTACTTGAAACATCAAAAGAATGCAACTCTGTTCCTATTAGCTGGTTGAAAAATCTCGCAGCCTCTCGTTNCGACGTATGAGATACGACTGTTTGCATCACTTTTAACTTTTTTTGTTTATTTCTTATCATTATACAGAAACGCAGCTGGAANAGAAGAAATGGATAATTCTGGAGCTGCGGTACAAATTGTTGGGGAAGAAGCAAGATGAGATTTGGATCTCAGGGATGATCGTCACGTCTGATTGCAACACGGAGACACGAAGATCTTTTTGAATCCGAGAACAAGTTCCAAGCTTTTAAACGCACTTTATGAAAGGAAAAAACTCGATTGTATATTTTGCCACCGCGAGCATTAACAGCATAATGGAAAAAGTAAAATATTTTATTTTTGACTCTCTATATTTGCTGACCGAACTGTTTTGTTGACAGGCAATTGTATTTTTTAGATGTTACTCATAATATATGAAGAGTTCGTTTTAAAGACTATACAGTTGATTAAGGATATGGACATCAGTCATAAAAGCTATTTACTATCTAGTATGAGCAGAAGAAAACAAATTCCAAGTATTAAGAAATGTCAAATTTATTTTCAAAAGACACTTGCTAAATGATACTTTCACACACATTCCATTTTAGGATTTACAAAGTTCAACTTCGCGATTGTTCAGGACAATGAAGTGTCTTTTGCTTTGACATTAGCACGTTCGTCAAAAATTTCTGTGTAATCGTAAAACTGAAACACTTACTGTCCTTATTTTTTTTAATTATGAAATATTAACATAACAGAGCAATCGCCGCTGCTAGCTGCTCAATTCCAAGTAAGGATCCGCGATTCTCTTAAACACAGCCAGGAATTTGTCTCCCTTGTTTCTAGTTACCTTTTGGCCTTCCTCTGTGCTCTCATATAGTTTTTCCACCACGGGATCTGCCACCTGTAGTAGCAAAAATAATCAAAATGTTTAAATACAAAAAATGATCACTTATAAATGACAATATCATACATAAATATAAAATAAAATATACAAATATTACACAAAATTGTACTTACCAGATCTTCTTTAGCAACTTCCTCAAACAANGGATGTTCTTGGAAATGTTTAACAATCCAGTTGTGCAAATCTTCTACATCTGTTATAGTATATACAACAGCCTGTACAAGAGAGAACAAGGATTGTAATCTTCACAAATTAAAAACTTAATTAAATACAATATAAATGAAACAATAACTTACACCCTCGGCCAATACGTAAGCGTATTCTGCTAAGAGAGACTTGCTTATTATTCTCCATTTGTGCTTTGACTTTTTGAAGTGTGGATCTGGATACAGGAAAAACATCTTCTTTAACTATACAGATTGAAAACAAAATAAATTTATAAAATAGNAACTCTTCTATACTTTAATCAATCAATTCTTATCTTTCACCTGTCCTTTGTGAAAGTAATTCGGCAGGTACTTCATGGCGTTTGTTCTTAGGCAGGCGATGTTCTGATACTGTCCGGGGTTTTTCGAGCGCAAAGCGGCAATGCGATCCATAACGAAGTCGGATACCTTTACTCTGATTTCCATACCAAGTATGAGATTGTCCGGAAACATCGGTGACAAAGTAACTATAAAGACAGATTGTATTTTAGACAAGTAGGAGATTATTTGTCAATATTAGAAGTATAAACAAATGATAATTACCTAGTAATCCTCCATAGCCGCAACCAATGTCCGCGAATTCCACCTGTTTTTGTTGTTCTCGCATTTGCTTGGTGGAGAAATATTGCGGATACAGGANGCTCCAGTCCATCAACTCTGGTTTAATGGGACTGTANAAATGAATACAAAATAATTTTNGTAGTTATCTTNAAAACGCTATAAAACGCTGAAGAAAATGNTGTTAAAATTTTNCTCACTAGTCTATGCAATGATCGGCTATCGGATTAGAGTGCGCACGTTGTCTGTAAAACTTCTTCTGAGGCAATGTTACCGTTGTCGACATGATTTCTAGAAATTAATTTCCCACCTTTTTTTTCAGAAAGTTCACGCATAAAATACGTCTTCAATTCCTTTCTAAAACGGGTCAGTATTTGGCGTATCTCATTTGAGAGGTTATGTATAAAATATCTATTGTTGTACCTCCGAAGAGAAAAGATAATGTACCAGGAACAAGAACAAATATTTNAAAGAAACACTTCCTCGCACTTAAATTGCGAATGTTTAATACGCGCTTTTTATTAAAAAACAACAATAGAATAATAATAAATCACGGGATGTGAAGAAAGTGCAGTAAGAACTGTTAAACGTGAAACATATATTCTTTTTTATCTTGCTGTAAACTGTTCAGTGGTTTTTCAACAACAAAAACTAAAAACATACACACGCATCAATTTACTCGTTGAATATATATTTATATTTAGTGTACGCTAAAGTAGAGAAAACACACGGGAAAAAATTTCATTGAGGAAATCAACCAATCACGAGCCGGCATTCTTTTGACACGGTTTACATTTGACANAATGCTGTGATAGGTCGAATTTCTTAATGCGTAAGTTTTTTCGTATGTTCCTGGCTTAAGAAACGCACGTGTTCGAGAAAATTGTTCGCATATTCGGATCACGTTTGACACTTGGACACACGTGCGCGGCTGATCAGCTGATCGAGGCGCGGCGCGCGCCACCCGGCGGTCGACGATGACACCAGCCGTGAGAAGCAGCGAGCGAAGCGGACGGAAGAAGCGCAGGAGAAAAATCATTCGCGCTTTGTGTGAACATAATTGTGTGTACGTTGTTGTTTTTTGTTCGCCGCGTGTTAAAAAAAAATGTGATCGCGCGTACGGACAGTGCCTGTGTTACGCGAATGAACCGGAGTCGCGTATAAAAGTCGAAGGATCGCGAGAGGACAACGAAATCCTGCCAGGTGAGGTTAGGTTAGGGCTGCGGATCTCCATTCCGCGACGGCTCTTTGTGTTAAAGCGATGGAAATAAGCACATGCGTGTGTATTTACGCACACGCGTGTGCGTATACTTCCGGCGCAGTTGCTTTTGTCTTTTGTAAATCTTCATATGATGTTTGGATTAAGAGCGAATAATAACAATATTATCGGTTCATTGTTATGTACTCACGTTTGTATCGCGATGACACATAATGACGGGAATTTTTGATGACACTTCATTTCCCAGACTGGGAGAATGACTGGAAAAAAATTCAAAAAGTATTATGGAAATTCGCGTGACCCGTGATTTAATTGATGTAAGAAATGAAACTTGTGTTCTCTAATTTCGTAAAATGTTTTTTAACGTTGAGCGAACTTTTGGGACAATTTTCAAAATTGTTGTCGAAAGTGTGCGTCATACAAATTTTTCATTTGAGCACACACCTACACACATAAAAAACAGTTATAATTATTTACACAGAAGTGAAGAATGTTCACGAAATTGTTGAAAAGTAATTTATTTTACTTTGTTTTTCTTTTTATATGCTTTACAGGTGCAAGAGCGAGCAATTTGTTGTATACATGACCGCATCGAATTTCCGAAGGAAAAACGCTTTTTTATTTAATTGGTAAGTCAAACATTACGTCGCTCATTGCATTTCTGCCGCTCGATTGAGCGACATCGTGCTAATTTGATAACGCGCATTGCTAAAGAGACGACGCAATTATTAGGTATGTATATTTTATCGGCACTGTTTGATATCGCAAAACCGCACTTTTGTTCGCCGACTTATAGCCAAGCAAGAAAAAAATCTTCGTTTCTTTCGTTCAAATCACATAATACGTTCGTGCGCAATTAGTTTAATTGATTTTTTCGCCGGCGTATTTATGGAACGCTTATCTTTATATCTTTCTACCTACTCGCGTTTATACGGAGAACTTGTAATCGAGAGCGTGCGGTTTACTTAAACCGTTCAATTAAGCTAATGCTCACTTGGGAAACGCGAAATTGGTGCATTGTCCTCGTGGAACCCGCAACACGCGCGCCGCGTGCGATGTGTATCGATTGCATAAACAGAGCTCAGACAAGTTTCAAGAAACTTGCATAACGCGATTGGTATTTGCTCCATCAGTATCGGCCGATTGTAGATCAATGAGATTGATCGCCCGCAAATATGCATATCCCGATGCGGCACGTGTTTGTTTGCCTTGTTATCCGCATGTCGATTTATTATAAGATGTACGTGCCGATTGTAGAACTTGCGTAGTTTTTCAGGAAAAAAGACTTTAGAATTGACAGAGTTAAATTAACAGTCGCAGATGACAAATAGCGTACAAAAATTATCAGTTTGTACGCGAGAAAACAATTTAAATAATTGTAAATTATCACGAAACGAGCGCGAGAAAAATATTTCATTTTTTGTTTTAATGAAAACATTATTTGTAATTTTAATTTAACTTTTTGTTTTTAAATTCGTGACATAAAAAATTCTGCAAAATGCACACAGTGTGTGAGAGCAATGTGATGAAATGATTTGTTTCGCGCGAAAATTGTGTTTCGCAGTTTTCCGCTCGCAAGCCGCCTCGACAAATCGCGTCGCGTCTCAACAAACCACGTGGCGACATTTGCGCGAGTACGCACGTAAACAGAAGAACACGCGACCCGAATGACACGACTTTTCCTTAGTATATACATCAAAATCATTAGCGAAATAATACATCAAGTGGTCTGACAAGCGCGCAACCACGAGACTTCTGACGATTTCTTTGTCTACTGATCTGGGTGTGACTATATAAATACGACGCATCGTTCGCGGAAAAACGCAATAGTTATTTAGAAGAAGAAAACCGAAAATGTGGAATCGCGAAAGATGGTGGTGTACGGTAAATATTTTCAAAGCTGATTGAATTTTCAAATAACCGACGTACACAATTACAACGCTCGTATACCTACAGTTAGAGTGATGAGTTTTGAAATTTGAATTTGTTTTCTAATCAACGTGAAGGAAATTGAGTTTTTTGCTTCCCAGAACACATCGATTATCTCTCGATTATTTTACTCGTGAAAAATGTTTTCGCGCTGAATTTTAGCGCGTTCTTTTTTTTTGCGAGAAGAAGAGCAATATTTCACGTGAAGTTTTCTTCTTTTCTGACGTTTCCCCCTTTTTGTCGAGGAGAGGTATAATAAATGGGCCAAGCGTTATATTGAATCGTATATTTTTCATGTATTATCATATCCGAAAAAAACTTACCTTTTTAAAAAAAGGTAAAAAAGTGCGCCAAGTACACGCACAACACGTAATACTTTAAATTAAAATTCTAAACTCAAACTAGTATTTATTAAAAAATGTATTTTATTTTTAATATAAAACATTTTATTTCTACANCAGTATTAAGATATTGCTGATTGAATTTTCCCCCACTCCTAAAATTCTTCATTTTCGCGTATATAGAGGTACGGTGTGCCTCGCACAGTTCGGGCGCACTGCGCGCGCGTGAACTTGGCGCGAGGCACTACCGTGCCTCTTGATATACGAGACGCTATTATTAACGATCGCAACAATTTTTTCCAAGCAATTATGCTTCTTCCAACCAACATTTTTTTTTATTTTTAACAAAGAGGCATCGCGCGTCACCGCCCGCGAGCTTTTCTCAGGGAGCAAAATGTCACTTGACATATTGCCGCACGCATTTTTCTAACCAGGGTTTTCTTACTGAAAACTTTAAGTGACACTTCGTAGCAGTAATAATAATTAGAAGTTACGGTTTTGATATTTCACGCGTCATTCGCGCAAAGAGACTATTTCTAGCTCGTGTTGATACAAATGTGAAATTCTGATTCTGTGTTTTCTTGTTTTTCTTATTACAAACGATAGATTACTCTTTGTAAATACGAACTTTTGCGTCGCGCGAGTCTCTTTTGTGCCGTTATCAATTCTCGTTGCAAACACACATCGCTACATTGTTCGCTGACATTTGTTTAGTCTGGCATTTAACGATCAGCTGTTCGTACCCGCTTCTGACTCTACCCGCGACGAGCGGGCACAACTTCGAAGTGTTATCGATATTCATTCGCCGGACGCGTCATGCAAATAAACTGAATCGCTTTGAATCGACGATTCGAAAACCTTCGACCGACTTTGAAATGAGGCCTCTCCGACCGTATATATAGATACTTTACAGAGTCGCGAAGCTAAAAAAAAAAAAAACGACTTTCATTTGACGGCTGCCATTATTCTGATATTTAGCGCGTAAAGTTTCCGACTAAATCGCTGCTAAAAAATTGCCGCGGACAAACAATTTGACGCGTTAATACACGCAGGAATATACATATACACGAGATAATATCTGAGCGTGGCATCTGAGATATATCTGACATTTAATACCGACTGAAAGATGAAGGGGACCGATGTTACTCTCTATGAACACTCCTACGCAACGAGATCATGACGTCGTCGTCGTTGTTGTGGTCGCCGCCGCTATATGCGTGTTTTCCCTCTCTTTTTTCGCACCACCTGGCTAACGGGCAACTCGCCGTCGCGCCGGCTTGGCGTCCACGTGGACGGCTCACCCACACGCGAGTGTGTCAGGTGTTGTGTGGCCGTCGCGCGGTCAAATGTATTCTCTCCTCGGCCTCCAGTAAGGATGTCGCTCTGCTCGGCTTCGCGCGCTCTCCTCCGTCTTCGTCTTCGATTCCGCGCGAATCCGCAATCGCGTCTCCCGCACCGTACAGTGTGAACGATATTTATCGGTGTGCGAATATAAGAGAAAATAAATGAAAACTAATAACAATTTAAATAGTAACAATGAGTTAAAAAATCAAATATTAATAAACATAAGGTTCGGATTGTTATTGATAGAAATGTTCGTTAATATGCGGTGACACATAAATGTCTCGTGACAGCCGTGAACTTTTTCTGAGCAAGAGGAAGAAGAAGACATTGAATATCGTGAAAGTTTTCGGCTGTGCCTTTGTTTTCGTTGAATTATTTATTATTCCGACAGGAAACTATGTTCGGACCGTTAGCACAGTTTGGAGTTAGTGCGTGTGGGCATGCGAGATTTGTGTGTATAAGTTTATTAAAATTTCATTAAAATTTATTTCCGATCTCCGATCGGAATAAATAAGAGTTCCGATAATGATATAATTTTCTTTTTCTTTTTGCGATGGTTTGCAAATTACGTGACGTCAAAAACAAAACAAAAAAAAATAATCGCGAGTGACGACGATGTAACAACGTGATGTTACCGCTTCGTTTAGTGAGTGATTAAAAGCCCTGATCCTTGGCCTCGATCTACTTTGCCGTGGTTTATGGTGACTATTCCATTGCGCCCTTAGATCAAATTAGCAGCGAGATTTTCTTGCGATTGTAATTTTTGTAGACAGGACAGCAGTTTGTCAATTCGCCATCGCGACACCAAGTGAAAAAACATCTTTGATCTTTGTAATTCTTTCATTATCATCTTTGTAAATTTTGTCTTTGTTATGAGAGAACAGTATTTTCCTTTTATTGATGTTTCTTAAGAATTTCTGTTTGCGGAAATGTTCCGTTGTGTATACAAATAAGTTCACGTTCTCTGATGGAATAATAAGTCTCGAAACACAGTGTACGATAATTTTTCATAACTTCAGAAACTCTTATTA